CAATGTTTGGTTTGTGTAGTGACTTCAACACTGTCTTAGATCTAGGATCACACAAATGCTCTTGCGGTTTTGTGGTCACCACTGAAGATTGCGGTATGTGGTGGGCTGAGATATTTTTGCCAATAGGTGGAATACAGCTGGTTTTCATTTGAGAGGAAACCTGACAAGGCTAATACACTGTCACAATAATTCAGCACAAAACACTGAGGTTTAAAATGTTCTCCCATATTTTCCCAGCGTATATATGTGACTCAAACACTTTGGAGAAGAGGAACTCAGAACTGTTTATACAGTGCGTGCGTTTTAATACACATATACTTATTTTTGATGTGAAGGATAAAAATTTTCCAAATTCTCCTGCACGCTGGGAAAAAGCTAAATTTTCTGAGTGTGAGGATGCGAACGAGAAGCAAGGAGGTGACTGAGCAGTGAAAGTACAATGGAACATTCCTCTCTGCCCCCCTGCAGGTTGCCAAAAGCTCCAAAGTGGACAAGGCAAAGGGGATCTGAATTCAGAGCAAAGAGTAACAGAAATATTATCATCCTGTTCATAATTATGGAGGGCCAATCGTATTATCAATGAGAAAAGTGGTTGTCTTGGCCCCTATTCCAACAGAAGGTTGCTTGAATATTAAGAATATAGAGCTGTAAACTTATCTGTACCTCACTTGTAGAAAGACAGATTCATAGATGCACTCTGCAAAGGTCATGAGTTTTATCTATAAATAACCAATTGCCCAAATGGTTTGCAAAAGGACAGGCCTTGCCATGCTGCACAATGGGGTGTAGTTTGAAGATCCCTGAGTTGAGTAGGTAAAGTCCTGATCTGGGAACAGTACAGGAAAATCAGTGTGAGAGACAGAGAATAAGCAAGATAGACAAGTATGATGACATTTGTGATCTTTCTGCATTGGGGGACTGAAGCAGTATCACTGCATGGTGCTGGACAGACTTGCAGATGCTTTTGGGGCTAGCTTGCCATCTTAAACACAGAGCTGCTTTCTTCACTGTGATATTGTTGATGAAGATTGTCTCCACAACCTAGTCTGAATTTTCATTTTAATTTTTTTAATTGGCAATTTATCATGGTGAAAAAGACAGACAAAAACTATTAACCGAATGAATGCCCAAGCATGGTACTAGCTTACCTCACATTAGATGGGGGTGAGTTTTACAAGCAGACTGACACATTTCTTTATAACAGTCTAGTATAACTGTCATTTGATTTTACCCATAAAAATCCTTGTATAAAAGCAACAACTAAGGAAATCATGTTCTGGGTTTGAATTTCATAAAAACAGAATTGCACTTTTGATACAACTGCTCTTTTTATGATGTCTGTGAATAATTCTCCATTTAGATTTCAAATTACAGCCCTATGCAATTTTTAAGAAAGCCACCTTAAAATCTCCTTGGAATAGTCAGAAACAGACTATTACCTGTATGTAGTCTATAACTTGCTGGTGTCTTTGTTTGGCTGCAGCGACTTCACTGTCTGAAATTGCTTCCCTTAGGGATTGCTGGGTTTTCAGAGAGTCCAGCTCTATGACAGCAGAAAGGCGGCAATACAGGCTTATAAATTTTTCCTTGTAACAGCAAAAATGAACTGTGAAAAGACCAAGTGCAAAGGAAACATTGTTATATTCTGGTTATGAAATATGAAATCCTTAGCTTTCAGAACACAAATTTTATTGAATATAATTACTAACTCTCTGGATGGGTTACTTTAAGCTAGAAATAAATAATACAGGCTCTAACTCTCCTCTCATTTACACTGGATTTACTCTGTAACTTCACTGATTTCAAAAGAGTAATTTCTAATTTATATCTAAGTGATGGGATAATCAGGTCCTTAGTATGCAACTCCAGAGGCTGTCTTGCCCTTGATAGCTTTAATCAGAAAGGCTGTTTCTGAGGCTTTTATAGCTCATCATTTCTTTTATCAAGAAAGTAGTGACATGACTGGAAAATGGAACTCATCTTTTATTTTTTTTAATTGAGTGTTTCAGAAAGAAAGTATCATTTCGAAGAATGATAACTTTCTCTTGGGCTAGGCTAGCTTAAATCAGTAACTTAAATGTAAATGACTCGGCAATAAAAGCATTTCAGTGATATTACAGTTTGGATGAAACAATTAAAACTCTTTTCGGTGTTACCACACATCATCCTCTGAACTCTTATGCAGAAGGGTAACACAGAAAGTTCAGACATGACCTCTTGCTTTTTGTAATTTGATTTTGGAGTAGCACCGAGCTATCTGACCTACCTCTGAAAGAGGTAACTAGGTAACAGAGACAGAACAGCTACAGTGCCATGGAGCTTCACAAACGTTAGTTTACCTGGCCTCTTAAAGCTACGTTATTCCAGAACTTGCAGTTGCTCAGGCAAAACTTACCAGTTATCTCTGTGAACTACAGTATAGACATACGGAAACTTGCTGAGGGAGAAGAATACTTCCCCATTCATTAGTGCTTCAATAAATGCAAGCATACAGCGTGATCTTGCTATAGCAGCAAATGCCAATTGGCTTACTACTGCTGCTTTTCTGGATTGCGGCATGATATTTTTCAGGGTGTTTCAAGTGTAAACTGCATATATTCTTCTTATCATAAATATTAAAAAAGAAATAAAAACAGTGACATGTCTACTTATCCCTTACAAACAACATGATAATTGAGAAGAATTTCTCAAATGAAGAAATCCAATCACAGAAACATCATTAGCATAACAATAAAGGCCTAATCTGAACACAGAAATCCCACAAAAAAAAGAGTGAAAGAAAGAATTCTACCTTCTGGTTTCCCAATGATGCCTAGATATTGCAGGGATCTAGTCTGAATAGTGTGTGGTCTTACAGTATATATGCCATATGTGGTGGACTCTTGAGTGAATTACAGCCGCGGTTTCAGCTTCAGTGCTGAAGTTTCTAGCCTTTGTGGTTTTAAGTCAGACCCTTTAATGTTACTTTAACAAATGTTACTTCAACATAGTCTTTTGTGGTTATGCAATTATATAGTTGGTAGCCACCAGCTAATGGGGAATGGAAGCTTCTAATATTTGAGATGTGAATCACAGTCACTTTATAGAACATCAGGGATACATATATAATAAGTCACATAGAAATGTCATCTGCCTTTGGCCAGATGATTGCTTACTTAAAAAAAATACTCAAAAGTAACATTCAGCTTTCCATACTGTTCGCTCCATGAACTGCTTTCCCACTGCAGCAACATTGCTAAACAGAGAGATCTGCACCCAGAATGCCATTTGAGAGGTTACTCTGTTGCATGTTTATCTGCTTCACATCATCCCATTCAATGTCTGTTGCTTTGTCAGCCTGATGCAAACTATGTCCCAGAAGTGAGAATGACTCCTGCCCCCGGCCTGTGTACCACATAAGGAGAGTTAAATAGTCTGCAAAACCTCTAGTGTGGAGATTAATTTCACCAGAGATGAGTATGCGTCGTGCATTAATTTGCACAGTGAATGCAGCACTCACCTCTCATACGGAGAAATTATATGCTCAATACACAGAGTCTAACTGTAGACTTCAGGGTTGTGTGTCAAGAAGATAGTAAGTATGGCTTTAGGGCACTACAGCCATGGCCATATGACCCAAAGCACTGAACTAACTCTTCTAGTTCAATTACATTAGTTTTCTTTTGAAGGGGTAACTTTTCCTTGGCAGACTACATCAGCTCATGTATTGTCTGTCTGTACCACTCATAATTTTATGGCAGCTTAGCTGTCATCTGTCCTCCCACAACTAGCATAAAAACCCAGAGTTGTCACAGGCACCACTTTGTGTCCTCTGGCTGATGTGGCATAAACAATATCATATATTCCTGCCTGATCCAAATGAAACGTGTTGCGGGATGATGGTAGGTCACGGATCTACTGTGACTGTGGAAACATGGTCTTGGTAAGACCCTCCATTAACATCTAACATGTTCTCCTACATTAGTGACTCTAACAGCACTTAGCAATGATATGTAGGAAATAGGATGGTAATGGTGTCACATAAACACCTGAGAGAGATATCACTGAGGACACAGTTGCCACTAGAGACCTATTCTGTAGTGGCTCCTTGTGTACTCCATCAGTTTTGGTTCTTATCTTTTTCTCTTCTCCAAGGCATAGGAAAGAAAGATACCCAGTTTTACAGGCCAGAAGGAAACAGAGGAGACTAATGTGTAAGGCTCAGCAATCCCCATACTTAATATTCTTTCTAAAAAGAACTATTAAGTCTTTATGAGCTGCTTTTATGTGGAACCTTTCTTTTCTCTGTGGACCAAAGAAGAAGAAATGAGAAATAGAAGACCTTGAAGCTAAAGCATCTTATGCCTTCTGTGAGACAGATGGAAAACTCTGGTTTAGGGAGTTCTTACCCAGTCAGCAATGCAGTGGAACAAGAGGGCTGAATCTGCTACAGCACAGGATGTACTCCCTAAAAAAATAGATTCAAGTCCAGTGCTTTGGCATTTTTCACAATAACAGGCTTTTCCTGCACCACTCCTGCATTTTTCCAGGAATCAGAAGGAAAAAGATGACCCTCACACGGGAAACTCCACTCAGACCTTTCACAAAGTTGTGAGGGAGTCAGACCTTGAGTAGGACTATCTGCAATCAGGAAGTGCAAAAATTCTGCTCTACAAAACTGGTCATTATTCTTGTGACAATTCAGAGGGATGTGTTTTTGCATCTCCTTTCACTTGCTGTGTTGTGTGTAATTTTTTGTTTCTGTTTTTTAAAGAACATCATCTTCCAAATAAGCTTATAGACACATACTGGATAACTGTGGGCTTTGCTCTATGCTTTGCATTTCAATAACGATTGCTACAGTATATGCTTTAACCGCTCTGCTCCGTCTATAACTTGTACACAGTTATAGGTAGTGTTGTTGCCAAAGCCATCATGTGATTTATTGACTCTCCACTGGGACAAGGGGGAAAACAGATACAACTTTGTGATTTTATTATAAGGAGACTGGGTTAATATTTCTAGGTGAAGCAAGCTACTATACCGAGTTCAAACATCTGAAGAGGGAGGTTAAGAAATCCTGAGTGTGGGGTGTAAGGATTATTCTGTCCTGGGGCAGTGCAGACGTCGTCTGAGGCGGGGAGCAGGAGAAGAAAGGAGACATTGTGACCCAGTTCCAACACCTCCTGTGTATACAGACGGAAGTGCTTAGCCTGTAGAGGGACACGCGCGGGGGAAGAAATAGGAGAGAATTACAACATGGCACTTATATAAACAACACCCCAAATGATATAAAACATTAAAGAAAATTTGCACAACATCAAGCTCGGAATTTTTATAAAACATAAATATTTGGGGGGGGGCCCTAAATGTGGGTTCATGTCACTACATAAAATAAAGATTTAAAGCTGCAATGTTCCACATTAAAACAACACACACAGGCACAACCCCCCTGAAAACAACATTTATGTTTCTTATTAGGCAGAAAATGATCACATGCCATGTGCTTTTCAAGATTATGATTGCATAATTATGTGAAAACATGAAAATGGATTCAATTAAAAACCTTTAAGATTCAATTTAGGGTTGGTTAAGAGAAATATGCAGCTCTCCCTCAACACAGCACTGAAAAGGTTTAACAAGTGCTGCAGCAAGGGAAAATGGCACACACAGGAGTTGGCCTGAGGCTGCTGTAGAGCTGCTGTGTGCAGCACTGCCTTTTACCCTGGGTATGCACCAGTGTAACTGTCCATGATTCTGTTTACCACAAAAATAATAAAAATATATAAATAAATCTGTTGAATTAAAAATTCAATTCATTAACATAGAAGTTGGGTCCTGAGTCATCAAAACATTTACAACTGTGTTTAACTGCAAGGTCATGTTTATGTCTATCTCTCATGCACAATAGATGAGCTTAAACGCTTGGCTGAACTGCAGCCTAAGGAACATACTGCACATTGATTTAAATATTTTAGTCCCTAGCTCGAAAAAAAAAAAAAAAGATGCACAAAAGCTATAACCTCCAAGAAAATACACTAGCATAGAGACCTGTACAGAGCCCTATTGAATTAGAGTGACTGACCACAAGGCAGCACACCATCTATCTTAATTTTGGATTTACTTGAGTCTTACTTGGCTCTTCCCAGGCTAGAAGGTGCAGCACTGATGGATTCCTTTTTAAAAGCAAAGCCTAAACCTTTCAAAATCAAGAAATGTAGAACCAGATTAATTTATTTTAAGGTCACATCTTTCTAGCTGCACAAATAGACCTTGAAGTGAATATAAAGATGATTTACTTCTACTTGAAGCCCTCTTTACCCTTGTAGACCAAAATAAAATGGAATTCGTGTAAACAAGAAACAAACTCCTTAGCGTATTTTTTCATGGATCTTTCACATCATAGATTATCCTTCCTGACTTCTTTATTTATTCACATATGCATTTCTTGTACCCAAATGTAAAGCCAGAAGCCAGATACCTCTCCTCACCCACAGCAATCTGGAGGTCTGGAACTATGTGTTTTAGAAGTGCTACATTTATCTGTGTGTAAAAGAATAGCAAAACGCTGTATCTTCAGCAGGCCTTTCATACACCCTCACTATTACCTCCAAAAGAACAGTCAATTGCCCTGCTTGTCTGGAAAAATACCTATTTTTTTTTGCCAGCTGGGTAAAGGTGCTCACAACTACTAGTTTCATGCAAAAGCGCTTATTTGCACCTGCCTGAAGTTGCACAAATACGCTAACAGATGCAAAAATAGGAGCTCATTGAAAATTTGTCTCTTAATCCTTTTATGTTCAAATAACCAGGAAAATAACTGTTTTATTGAAGATGTTCCCCCCACACACAGCTAGAATAATTGAATACAAAACTTCCCTGCTTTTCTTTTCTTGCAACCGTAACATTTTAATCCCTTCTTGCAAGTTATACAGTTTGTAGCATTTAGTTGCGTTCTTAAGAATCAGTTTTTAAAAAGGTGATAAATACCACAAAAGAAAATACCTGATGCAGAGGTAGATTGATCTGTTTAAGGAGAGCTTTCACTGCCATCTGGAGCTCATACAAGAACAATTGAGTAGGGCAGTCTGAAGTATGATCCATACTTTCCACAGATTCTGAGCCAGAAAGTGTTTGGATCCATTCCCATTCATCTCTGTATGTTGAGTCAAGTTAAAATTAGAAATATAACAAAAGTTCAGTGCACAAGCAGGAATTCAGTGTATGTGCATTTGGGATCTGTTGATAGTTTAATCCTCATATAGCAAAACATTCTAAACTTGTGCAATCCTGATTGTTTGTGGTTAAAAATCTAACTTTGAAAAGTTTAATTTTTCTAGCACATGTACATCAGGCTGAACATTCCTTGCAAACCTCTGAAAGTCCAACTGCCTTTGAAATATTTCACTAAGGCTTCTCACTCCAGGTTTTCTTTTTTACATACTTCATTCCCTATCTACCACAATATTTTAACAAGCATGCATTGGAAATGACAACAGTATCAATTAGCAGGAAGTTTAATTTCTGTGACAGACTCTTCTGTACTCAATGGAGCCAAAGAACTTCCTGGTTTGCTCGACATATATCCATTCTAGACCTGATAAACATGGGAATCATCTTTCTGGATCAAATCCTTAATTTACCCTGCCCAGTATTGAGTCTGAAAAGCAGCCAGCACCAAACATTCAAGAAAAAAAATAGTACAGGAAACCCCACTACAAGATGAGTAATAGATGTGGTGCAATTTGCTCCTAAATAAAGATCTGATCTTAAACGTCAAGAGTCAGAGATTGTTATAAACCCTGAAGCACTAGGCTTCATATTCCTTCCAAAATTTTTGTTAGTATTAACTACTACATTCTGGATATCCTTGTTATCCATATAGATATCCAGTTCCTCTTTCCTCATGCAAAATTAGCAGCTGGTTGCTGAAATGATGGGGGATTAAAAAGCTCCAGAAGAAAGCCAATAAAATGTGTTACCCACTAGGCAAGGACTAGGAAGTGCAAATAAGTGCACTTGCCCAATAGATAAGGGAAGCAATGGACAAAGAGGAAAGTGGCTTTCCCAGAGCGCAGCAGTTCAATGGCTGATAGCATTTGTCTGAATATGTGTTTTCAATTGCTGTATGTTTGCTGTAGATTAGAGCGAGAAACCAGATATTACACAAGAGAATATACAGAAAAATCACCAACACCAACACTCCATGGTTAGTGAAAATCAATACGAAGGATGACATTGAATTCACTGGAGGCTGAATCAGGGCTGCAGGCTATGATCTTCCTAACAGATATATGGAAGATCATTACCACCCTGCAGAATTTGAGTGATCACAGAATACTGTCCTTAGAAACCAATGGGCTCATATGTACATGTTCTGGATAGGTCTTCAGATTGCTGGAAACACACAGGTGCACCTGTTTAGTTCAGCGCCGATCTCTGTGATGGTACACATCTGAGCCAAACTTTGCTGGCAGCTACAATTTTGCAATGGCAAAATTGCCTTAGCATTTAAATTTGATCAGTTGTTTCAAACTTAAAAGAAATGTTCTCTACATATGTGTGTGTAAATATGTATATATTCACTTACTTGGAGACATTGCTGTTGTCTCGGATTTTAACATGACACAGGACATTAGGCAACTTCTGCAACACAAGCACTTTGATTTGATCCACAGAACTGCAGAGTTTAAGGTAACCTAGATACAAGCCGGGAGGGAGGCGTTGCTGACTTCGTTTGTGATAGGAAAGTATGTCCTGTTTTAAGAGAAACAGTCCTACATAAAAATCTCATTTTTTTTCCACATCAGCGGAAGAGTTTGGGATCAAAAAGCAACAAATGTTTTTACAGCCGTCTTTTTGTTTCAACAGTGTTCCCAATTCGCAAAGCATTTAAGCACATGCTTAAGCATATAAATAATCTCTGGTAGTTTGGGTGCACTTGGACAACTTTTTACTTAAAGCCATACACAGGTTCTCTAAGTTCTCCACGTCATGCAGGAATTGGCTCTAAAAAACTGAGGTTTCAATCTTCTACAACTGTAGTATTTAAACTAGCTTAAATAACACCCACTTCTGCCCTCCTGTCTGATCATTTCAGCAGCGAGCTGGGTCAGGGAACTGACTCAGCTGAAAAACAACTCAGGAAAAGGAGCAGTCATTTTTCAGCCAGAGTAGTTCCCTGGTTCACGTTTGGTGCATAGCTACAGAGATGGAGCAGAGCAGCATTGGGAAAAAGCTATCACCTGGGCTGCATAAGCCAGTACTGTCACCAAAGAAATGCATGTAGAGTCACAGCCTACATCTCTCGAAAACCTGTTCTGTATCACCGGCTTCAACAGGAAGAACTCTATAAGCATGGGGGTTGGTGGTTTGCAAAGTTTAATTAATGGCTGTGTTTTCTGAACAAGTATCTTTATCAACAAATAGAGCTTAGAAGGCATTAATAATGATGGCATATTTGCTGAAGCCAGGAGACATTTGTAAGGCTATGTATAACAGTCCCCCAAAACTACCCTAAAAATGATGTCTGCTGCCATCCTGAGAAATGTGTGCTTCTGCAATGGATGAGGATTAAGACACCTGGCCTTATGCCTTTAGTCTTGGAACCATCAAATTATCTGCCAGTGCTGTGCTTGGCTCTGACCAGTGCAATTAGACCCTCATTTTCACAAGCACTTCATGAACAAAATACCCATTCGATGATTAAACAAGTAATACAAGAAAGGGTGGGCATTAGATAGGAATGTGTAAACCATTAGGGGAACAATTTTTCCACTAGGATCTCTGTGGAAATTTGATCAAGCCTGTATTTTGGGTTTCCTAATATAAAACTTTTGCCCAGATTGACATTTTTCTACACCTTTAACACATTTTAATACATTAAATCTAACATAGATCAGGTAAGTTTTATTGTCTTTTGGAAATTTTTTAACGTTTCTAAAACCTGGTGATGTATATTTTGATTGCCTGTCGGTTTCCGGTACAAAAAGCACAGTCTCTGCCCAAGAAAGTGCCTCTAATTCAAAAATTAACCTCAGTCTAGCTGAGGTTACTAACGAAGGGACTAAGACAATGATTTGTCTTGTGGTATTTTGGGTAACTGTGCAACTGAGTTTTAGAGAGATTGGCTACTGACATTTTGTGAGAAATAGGTTGCTGTTATCTACATAAAACGTATTAATCTTTATGTGAACTATCTATGTTTAACATGAGTTTACAGATACCCTGATTCTTGAAGGGCTGAAAGCCCATGGCTCTTAACTATGTTAACTGAACTGACTATGCAAAGCAACTTCTAAGATCAGTCCTTACCTTGGTGTTTTTCTAATTGTGAAGTCTAGGGTCATGTTATGCAGAAATTAAAGGAGTAAAGAATGGTAAAGAATGGTCAGTAAAGAATTCTTTAGTAACTATACCAGGCTCCAAGGAACTCTGAACCCCACAGAACAAGTTTATTAAGTAGAACAGTGAAGTTTTAAATCTAGATTTAGTGTTCAAGGTTGGATGGAAAAATCTTATGGAGTGTAGAAATTGCAAGTGTCTGTATAGGTGCTTAAGAACATCCCAGAGAACTTTAAAGGTTTTTATATCCTTTGCTACAGAATTCTATAGCATGGTTTCCCGAAACTGATAGAAACTGTACTATTCTCAGCTAGGACTTTGAAGTAATTTCTTTAGAATCTCATGGATATTTTACACATTAAGGATCTGATCCCAGACCCACTGGAAGTAATATAAGTCTTTGCTTTCAATGGGAGCCTTGCCATTAATTTTATTGGGCACTGGATTAAGGCCTAAAATTCTACAAGACTCTTCCAAAAATCAGGGCTCTGGCACAGGCTTTACAAAAGCAAATAACATACAGTAAGAGAAGCAAAGCACTACCTGGATTGTTATAAGCAAGATGTCTAATGCTGTTGGCTCCTCTGGAGTTGAAAGGGATTTCCTCTGGCTTTGTAGTTTGGATACCTGCATCCATTTGCCATTAAAAAATGAATAAAGACTCTCCACTTCTCTTACAGTAACTATCAGCATATTGCCATGTCGATCCTTGATTGGCTCATAAAAAACTCTGCCTAAGTTGTGAGTTCCCAGCAAATTCTAGAAAACAAGCAAATTATAAAATGAAAGTTATTTATCACATATCAGGAGAGGGGTATTTTGTGAAACTTAACTTTGTGCTCACTGACATCAGTTCTATTGACTTCAATAAAAACTAGATACACAATGTTTCTCAAACCCTTGCCCTACAGTCATGTCATTCAGTGGCAAAAGGAAAAGTTTTTCCCTAGGTTGTGTTTGTGGATTGAATTGTGGATCCTCCGATGTATTTGGTCCAGCAGTGTTTAGTCGAACATTTAATGGAGAACATCAGAAAGACTATTATGACTGAATGCCTTTGTAAAAGGAAACACTGCAAAGTAATTAACTTCTTTGGACAGAACTTTCTATTTTTGCCCAGTCATGTAAAGATAAAGGATGCAATTTTCAAAAGCACTCAGTGTTGGTCTAGTGGTGATTCCTTTGGTATCAATGAAGCCCTCTGACTTGAACTTACTGAAGAGCTAGGTGCTTATCTTAACCTCCCTATAACCAAATGTCAGAGATGATACAAAATTCTTTGTCTATCCCCAAATCATTCATATTGGACACTTCAAATGTTTTCTGATAGGGTCATTAACTATAATCTCCATTTCTGTTCTCTGTTTTAAAATTATTCAGATTATTTTCAGCAACAAAAGCATGTTGAATGTAAATAATTCTGGAGCTAAACTGTGGGGTGTGTTTGTGAAGGAACACAGAGGAATTTGAAGAGACACGGACCCTTTTCCTTTTACTTCAGATACCAAGAATGTGCTAGACAAAACCATCAGAAACTAACAAACTACCAGGGCAAAGCTCTCCAGGAAAATATGTGAGGATTAAAGAAAAGTAATTTTAAAAGACTCCACATAAAATACATATTTTGGTCAAAATCCCTTTCCTCACACAGTAAGGCATCTGCTTATAGGTGCAAACACACTCAATCCAGTGACCAGCCACTGAAGAGATTCCCAGATGTCTTAAAGAAAAATGCCTAACATTTAAAATATGCTCATTACTTTGCGACTTTTCAAGAGATCTACAGTAAGCTGGATAGGGATGGGGGTAGTTTGAAATGAAAACTTGAATTCACAATGTAGCACATTGTATGTTTAGGGAAGTGCTGTACATTAACTTAATGACATTATCCTGAATTTATTTATCTGTACTTAGCAGGCAATATTTACTTATAAACTGTATTATTAAATTGTTTATAAACTCTATGTAGTCAGCACAGTGACTGCCTTTTATGTGGCATAGCTTAGCTATTTTAGCTTTATGCGTCCCTCTCCAGGGCATACTGTTGATGTCTATATAGCACCTCCCCTCTTCTTTTTTTAACTGTTCTGCCTTTTGAGGTTAGCCTCCATAACTGATTAACACGGGGTGTTTTGAGTACACATTTTATATTAATCCATGTGCCCACAGGTGGGACAAATCACTGCAGGTAGATGTTAGCCATCTAGTTGTCGTCATAATCACTGCAACATATGAATGTGCCTAGATGAAAACAAACATCTGACTGTATATTCTGAATGACATTCCAGCACAGAGAATGGGGGTACCTACTAGTATGAATATGTGACTAATTCATATACTAAAAAAGTTTTGTGTCTGCTTAGCTTGGCACCCCATCACTTGTGTTTTGTTTGCTTTAGTTGTCTGGTGGTAACAACAGGCAAAATTACAGTCCCTGTTGTCTCGAATCTACTGATCTAGTCCTTTAGCAGCTGTGCTGTCACTGGTCTTTTCCATTCTGTCCTAAATTCCTGCGGAGTCAGTCTATTAACTGCCTCAATAAAATGTATTCAACCGTATAAACTTTATGGAGATCCTTCCATTGGTGGATCCCACTAGGCCACACACCGTTAGAGGCTGGCAGATCGGTGACAATCCCTGTGTTCATCAGGGGACCACGCTAACAGAACAAACGTTAAGGACAATAAATTTGCCAGAAATTCAACAGAGCAATATACCACATGGACACATTTGCTCTATCTCTGTGCTTCAAGCTCTGCTCTTAACATATCTGGTAGCAAATAATAACACAACGAAGTAGGAACCTTGGTTATCTTGAAGTGCAGTCCATGCATACTAGCAATGCTCTGTTAAAGGCAATCTGCACAGAGGGAATGAAACTGAGCTAATCAAAGGAATACGTGTTACGTCAGCTGAGCTAACCACACCAGAGGGAACATTCAGCAGATATAGTTAAAACTTTCTCTAGTGGCAGCTCAAAGGACTGACAAGCAGCTGCTGCTTAACACAGGTGGTCCTCCAATAAAGGTACAGCAGACTGGCATTCCATATATTTCGGGATACTTTGGGGAAATCAGTCAAGACAGGTGGTTGCCCAGGAAGGCTACTCTCCTTTACAGCGTGCTTTGCCAAAAGATGTAAAAGAAACCCCACATGGATATTCTTAATAATGGCCACAAAGTATCTGGCTCTCATAGCTGCTATAAAACCTAGCTTATTCCATTGACTGGCAATAACAAGAGGGATGGCTGTGTGGCTAATACATGAGCCAAGCAATATGAAGATCTTCATTAATTCCATGACTTACCATAGATTTCTCTGGGAAGCTTTGGTGACTTCATTCAAACAAAAGGTAGGAGAAAGTGAGGCCTGGATATACTTTTTCTGTAAGAATCATGCACACATCTTTTTGAAAATGTATTTTCCCTCGAAAGTAAATATTTTATGTAAGTGTCTGCCTTCCAGCTAGAGATTTCATGTTATCGTGAAACCCATTCTTCAAAAGCTTTACAATAAATGTCAAAATGTTCTGCTGGAGAAAGTGTAATTACTATTTGCATAACAAATAGTGGACTGAGACACAGAAGAATTAAGTGGCCTGTTCAGTAGCACTTAGGTTGTATCTGTAGCGCAGGTTGGAACGGAACCATCCTGAGAGTCACTGCTATGCCTTAACAACATGATATGAATAGTGCATGTAGTGCTGCTGTCCCTACCACTGTGCTGAGGGGTCAGCACAAGATCTATGCACTGCTTAATCTCTCTCAGTCTCTGTTTTTAAGGGTCTAAATAGGTCTCTGACTGGTTCTCTGCACAAAGGTACATTTCACCTTAAAAATTTTGGCAGCTCAATTAAGAACTTAAAGAAAGATTCATTTTTATTTCCCTGCTGACAATCTGCAACAGCATAGCCATCCTATTTGTCAAACAGTGTAGTTCTGCCCTAGAAGCTGTACTTGAGCAGTTTGTAAGCCGGGGTGAATCAAGAGTACTATTCTGGCAACTTCAGCAGTCTACTTGTCCTTGCTGTTGGGGACAGAAGCTACCTACTGCTGCATGTTCCCAGATAGCACAAGGGAGTGCTAAATCTTACCGAGACTTTAAATGCTTCATTAATATATTAATAATTAATAATGAATAGGCCTTCTAAGAGGCTTTTGAGCAGCAAATATTAGGATTATAACTCTTGAATTCCCAATCTGCAAACCCACAGGCTTATTTGTGGTCATTATTTACTGATTTGTATCTGTTTGTTTCTTCATCTCCCACTATTGTTTCTTTCCTTTCTTTTTCCTACTCTTTATTTTTAATGTAACTCCTTCCTTCCAGCTGGCAAGAGAGGCTCAGTAGCTCATTTCATTGTAGATGATAACGCTGCTCCACAGAACAGGCCAGTGGGGAGTGGTGAACCATAGGATAGCTGGCAGTACTATCCCTTAGAGATCAGAAAGTCACTAAGTTAATAGCTAGAAATATGCAATGCAACCAACCTGTAGCTGTGCTGCTGCTGAAAGCATCTTTTGCCTGGCTTGAAGTGCTGTTGATGAGGACACAGATATAGATGTATTTTGCCTTAGCCATCTGATATCATCCCACATGCAAGACAACTGCAAAAATATATCCAGTTCAATCAGTTTTTGTTCTCAGCATTTACAAAAGCAGAAATGAAACTAAAAGCATTTTGGACTTGGAAAAATCAGTAGACATTGCTCATTTTGAGTTTCTGCGGATGGCAATAAGTTGCCTAGATAAATATGAAACAGATATTGAATCAGACACAGAAATTGTTCTGTAAACATCATGCACCCATTTCAATTGCTTTTTGGACTATTGTGTAAAATTAATTTACTCTTCTTTGGGGTATAAAAAATAGCATGAAGATATCTTGAATGATGGCATAACCATAATACCAACTTTAAAACTTCTAGTTAATTCTTTAGACCCTTCCTCTAAGTGTTCATAAAACCTTTATGTACTCAAGTAGCAATCATTTATGTAGGATCATACATTAAAAAGAGCTAATTGTGCCACTGTCAGCAACCCAGTCAGAATTTAACCCATATAAATGGTTTGTGAAAATTGCATTTTAACATGAGTGAAAGGTAAAGCACTTCATCATTTAGCTTTTTAAAGACACCATTTCATATATTCAGAATGATGAGCTAAGGCCTATGCACTGCTAGCAACAAATTTGTAGAAGCAATGTATGAAATTAGGCTCCCGTTACCTTTGTGAACCACAGGAAATCCTGCATAACTGAACTACTGTGAGAGTCATCGATTTCCACAACTGGGATTTGATCTTCATTGGTTACTAATAAATTGTCTTTGTAAAAAAATATAACAGATAAGTAGAGTCCCCTAAAGAAAGAAGGAAACATTGTCAAACATCTTTCACGTCTATTCACATCCACGCCAAATATTAGTCAAAGAATCATAAATGTTAAGTTCTGAGGAGACAAATTGAATCATCTGGTCTTAACTTCTATGTTACATAGATCATGCAACTTAAGCCAGTGAATTCTGAAAAATATTTGGGAAGCTTATCACTTTAGATGATGTGAGACTACAGGAACCTAAGAAATTATGAATTTGTGCAGGCCACTGACATCAGCGTTAGTAAGAATTTTGCCAGAGTAAACAGTACACAATGGAGGCTTTATGCCCCTTAGAAATCAGAAATTTTACCAAAACTTTTTATCATTAATGGGCTTAGTTCTGCCCTCGTTTACTTCAGAGTAAATCTGAAGTAACTCAATTGAAATCAGGCAGGTTATTATGGATTTACATTAGTGTAATTGAGTGTAATTTGGCCAGCATATCTGCAAAACTGTTTATAGAGATCATTCCTTTCAATATTTACCCTTGCAATTAGTTACATACGTTAAGTAGTTGCCTTAGGGAATTTAAAGGCTCTGGAGAGCTCTTCTGAAAGAATCAAACTCTTATCAAAATACAAGGAAGAAAAAGCAAACTGAACACTGCTGGCAATGAAAGAAGAAATAATCCAGCATAAGCAACTTCCATTTGCTAAAACAAATTATCAAGGCTGGGTTGCAAACCTAGCTAAAGATGTTAGAGGATTCTAGATGTGTTGCTTGTTGCCAATGGACTATTAAAACATGTTATCTGAGCCCTGCATTTTATATTATGAATGAAATAAATACCATAGTTTCATTATTGAGCAGCAACAGAGGCAGTACTTCCAAAATACCTCAGTAAATATGCACTTTGTGTTTGCACAGAATATTTCACTCTGTTACAATTCAAATCCAGTTCCAACAGTAACAATGAAAAGATTCTATTGATTTCAGTAGGAACTGGAGCATTATTTTCCTATCAGCTGTACCAGTCTTACATGTATGTGATTTTATCATCAGGTTCATTCTGATTGATTGCTGTTTTATTGGTAGTGGAATCTTCACATATATTTCTAAGGTGTTTTTCACTATTACGTAAGAGCAACAACTGGTAGGTAAAACTCAGAATGTTTGGGAGATAAAATGAATGACAAACCGTTTCAGAGTCTTCACAAACTTGTTTGATGAATGGAAAAGGTGCTTCAGGCTCCTGGAAACTGATTGCTTGCGACCAGCATTCTGTAATTTAGAACTTTCTAAAATGGAAAATAAAAAGCAAACCAAACCCAGCACTTAAATTTCAGTTAGTATCTCATAAAGAACCTTTGTCTCTTGAATCACTATACTAAATTTCAGTCAGTGCCCACTATATTCCTTTCAAAAGACAACATTTAGAAACATGCTCAAACCTTTAGCTTATATTTTCATTATCTTAGCGATATGCGACAGCAAACAATTTTCTTACTTGCAGCAAACTCAGACTTGGTAAAAAAGTCTTGCTCCTAGGCAAAGTATAGCTTGAACCAGTACCACTAGTACTTTTAATGTTCAGAATGGATATGAATTTTACAAGTGGTCTCAAAAACCCAAGAAGAGAATCGAACCATCAGTCAACATTTTAGGGTGTTGTAATTCCTCAGTTTCTGTCCGTATATACCTTAAGCTTCTAAGAACTGAATAATTGGTGCCCCAGCAATCATTAACATCACAGCATCACCGGTCTAATCTAAGTAAAAGCTTTAAGGAAACAAGTAGATTGACCCTCATCTTTCTCTGTATCACATTAAATGTATGTGCTTTTGTTTGGATTTTTTTTCCCCCCATCACAACAATTTCCACTCACCTGTATTGCTTCAGAGCTTTCACAGTTAGATTTGCTCCCTAGTAATCTGGAATCCAAGGAAGAGGTGTTTAACTCATTTGTTCACTTCATGTCAAAGCTGAGACCTGCTGTGTGCCTGCAAGGATCTCTGGACCAGCTCTCTCAATAGAAGAATTGTATAAATTCAAATATTTGCCCAATACTCTAAAAAATGTGGTTAAATTTTTATACATTGTATTATTTTTAACTTTCATGAATTTGACTTAATGTCTTTTCTTCTTTCATGCATGGCCTGAGTTTCCCTGTAAGCCAAAGAAAAATCTTCCAGTGGGAACCGAACCTCACAAGCTCTGTGAAACTGCTGTACCTGTATACCTGTAAGCAGATTTTAGAGGGTATGCCAATAGATGGCAGTCAGGAACACGCAGGATTGTATAATGTACAATGTATTGTCAGTTGTTGTTGTCCACATATGGCATTTAAAAGGAACAGGCATTCAAAACTGTTCGAGTTTTTTTTGCATTGTCTTTTGCGATGTCCCTCCTGTTTAATACTGTTGTAAGAGAAACAGCAGAAACATTTAAGTTAAAAAAAGGATTAATTCTTCAGATATTTACTGTGATGTGAAAAGAAAGACAAAAAGAAAAATGTAACTGTGAAACTACATCTCAGTTTTCCAGGATGTGACTCTTTATTTGGATGAAGCATAGATACCCATCGAGGCTGAAGTGTGAAACATTTTTGAGGGACACCCTTCTCCAGTGGGGGAAAAATATGACTTATGAAGAACTATTTGCTGAATGCTGCTAATCAGTCTGCTTAGGTGTTTTCAGAGTAACATATGCAAAATAGGAGGTGTCTATCTGTGTCTCCCTAGTGAGTTCTAAGTTTGAACATTTAAAGAGCACCTAAATTTGCTCTTGTCAAAACCCCATCTGTGGAAGTGCTCAACATGTTTTTAAATGATGAATAAATTTGGACCATAATTTGCACATTGAAAACCACAGAAAGACGACACATTGTTAGCAATAATTACCACTCTGCTGAACAGCAATTACAAAGAGAACAAGGTTCTATTGGGGGTAAAATCATACAATTCAGATGTATGAGACTTATTAGATTATCAAATCCATTGTCTTTCCAGTGCAAACTTGTTCTCCATGGCATATTCTCCAATGCGCTGTTCAGTTTGGTTTTCACAGACTCATCCAAATCCATAACTGCAACTGATCTTTGTTTTCTTTTCCTTTTAAAAAAATTCATTTGTTTTTCTATCCATATCTCCTCAGACAATTTTTATTCTACTGTGAACTTTTTTCAGTATATCACAGTAATGTAAACCAAATGCTACATGAAAACTCCTGTCTTAATGTTTCCTTTTTCCAAGGTTAAGACCAATTTAGGAATATAAATTTCATTCTAATTATGCAATTTTTATTTTCTTATATATTAAGGTTGGAGGGAATGGAGGAGGAAATTGCTGAAGGCAAAGCAACATAATTCTGTATAAAACACCCAGAGACTGCAGCATTAAAATAAGAGGGCACATTACAAGTGAAATATATGTTATTGGGCTATTCAGTGGTTTGGGTTTAGTCCACAGCTTTGCAGAAGCCAACAGCAAAAGAAATAATGTAAAACTAGATGGAGACTGTAAACTCTCCTACGTTGCTATTTGCTTTTGTTTTACAGTATAGTATGTCTAGAAGCCAAAAAACACGGAGCTAAGATTAGAGGATAATTTGGATCTACAGGAAATGGAACTTCGTCTGTTATTTAATTAACTAATAAATAACATAGAGTAACCTGTATAGAAAAGCACCAGTAACAACAAAATAAGTTTATAATAAATGATACAGCAATAGAGTTGTGAGCTCTTTTAACACAAGCTCAGGAGCAAACAAATAGTGGCTGAGATAAGAGAATTTCCAGTGATTAGATTTAGATCAGAAGCATTCAAACCTGGATTGAAGTAGGCAATTAACTACAAAGGTATATTTGCAACATTAGCAGTTTTTCTCTTCTCAGGTAGGATATATAAATGTTTCTTTGCAGTTCACTTAAATACAACAGATGATACTTAAAAGCGACATAAGTCGGTTGTGGAAAAATAACAAAGTTGCATACTCAGGCTGCTAGTACGCATCTGGGGTCTCTGCTCTAGAGGAATGTCTGTTATGCTGTGCCATTTCTCTGAGGAGGAAGATCATCTGGAATTCTTTGTCCTATCACTAGACAAGCGGGTGCCTCTCCTCAAGTGGGGCAGATGTGAAGTAAATGGAATTACCTCAGTGCAAAATTATCTGAGATCTTAGCCCCACAATCAGACAGCCTGTGGAACAGTTAAGTATCATTTAGGGTGACCCTGAACAAGGAAGCAAATTAGCACAAGATGAGTTAGATCCCACTGAAATCCTAGTGGAGGGCATAAAAGGAGGTTTAGAGTTTTCACTAACTGTGTAACCTTATGAAAATACATCAAATAGCTGGAAACGTCCAGACAAATTCAAACTCAGTTTAAAGCTACACATTTTTAGCAGTGCAGACAACTGACACTGGGGTAATGTGCATGGAGACATAATTCCACACAGAAGTTAAAGGCATCAGTAGTGGCCAGACACCTCAATAGCTTGAGACCACGATAGATTCTGTATTACCTTACCTCAAGGTGGGATGTCTTTCAAAACAAAATTCTGTATCTCATGAAGAAGCTATTGGCATGACAGTTGTATTACTGGGTGGTAAATTTTGGATTACAAAGTCAGGCTCAACAGCTGAAATTGTAACTTCTTAAATTCCCTACCTGAACTTCTCAGTCTATGGCTTGGCTCTGAAGCCTGCCTTTGTATATTCTCACAAATAATTATAATCTAAACATTTTAAACACCCTTGGAATCAGAGATCCTTCTCTTTGTTAAATGCAATAAAACTATGTGCTCTGCTTGTGAATCAAATTACAATTAGAACATTTTTTTTTCACCTCTGATTTGTCCAGTAAAATACATTTCAACCAAATTTCAGAAAGAAAATATCTGGTAAGCATTTTACTGGAGTTGGGTTCCTTTCTTAATGAAGCATCACACAATTACGTAAGCCACTCAGAATTGTTTAGAAAGAATGATCTACAAGAAAAAAATACTTAAAAAATACATTTGAAGTGTTGCCAGGACATACAATTGTAGTAACTTAGTTATGATAGTCTGTAGCATGGTATTATGAAGACAAATGGATGACTCTTGTTTGTAATCATCAGGGTTTTCCAGAAGATTAAACATATGAAAGCAAAGCTTCCTAAGTAATTCCCTAGGAGATTTCATCATATCACAGAGCAGGTTCAAAAGCAACAGCTGATCTAATTCCAAAAGCTCTTAAACTCACTGTACATTCCAATGTATTCTTCCTGGTATTTTTGTAAGATTGTTTTCTTCAGCCCCTGAAACGCGAAGCATAGGGCAAAAGGCAGGCTGCAGTGCAAAGCCTGAATGAACAGACTTGGGCAGGAAATCTGCCTGGAATCTGGGCAATTTAACCCTCCCAGATCACACTGGAGCAATAGCACGCTGCCTTGCTCTTCTAGCTCCTCTCTATTCTGAGGCTTTTACCTATGTTATCCAAGTAATCTCAGACCTTTTAGATCGATCACCCTCTCAGTTTTTTCCACCTCACTTGCACTCCTCCTCCACTCTCCTTCAGCCAGCCTGAGCATCGTGAGTGTGATATCCCTCAGAGGAATCATTTAGTGAAATGCCAAGGTGCCAAGACCCCAGGTTTGAGTCCTGTCTCTGTCTTCACCTAGCTTTAATTCATGCAGAGCTTGATTCTGCTCTCATTTATAAACCACAGCAAATCAGTCGTTGTAAGCAGATTCAAGGATACTCTACAAACAATGTCCAGCTATTTACTGACATCTCTAAAACAAATGAGGAAGACAGAGGTTACAATATTAATGTATAATCAAAGAAGAGTGTGGTAAAGAGAAGCATGGTAAAGAATGGATAAATGGGTGGGCAGATCCTCAGCTTATGTATAACAGCATATCCATGCTGACTTCGATCCATGTCAGTCGAATCATGCTAATTTACATTAATTAAGGATCTAGCTCAGGCCTTTGTATTATATGAAGTGAAAGCCATTATTTGAGCTTTTCAGTCATATACAGTAGCTTATCTCAGATCCTTGATCAAACTCCTCAGATTTCACTGAGGTTGATAAATACCAGAATAAAATTTCAGAGTCAAAGATAAATACCAGAATCAAATTTCAGAGTCAAAGTCATGTAGTAATTCTTACTTTTTTCTGCAAACTCTTTGTCTTGATTCTTTACTAAATTACTGAAATACAAGGGATTGACATCAGTCATATATTTAAGGCAAGTTCCAAAGGCTGTCCTATTATGTTACAATCCTGATTTATCCAAAAACTACTACTGTGTAATGCTAGCATTACAAGCAATTATGATATTTTTATTTGGTTGGAGGCAAGGGTGTTGCTCAAGCTGACTCCACAGTGTAGTACTGCCACATGTAAGCTCCCAGATCCTCTTTCAGACATGCAAGAAAATGTTCTGAGATAAACAGATTTTCTGTATTGTTATTTATTATTTAAGGAAGAGGAATTAGGAAATCAACACAGAGTTGTCTGTGCTTTGCTTTGCGACTGGGGTTAATTTCTGGAACAGTGGAATTTTATAAGAACCAGGCATGGGTGTCAGATTCTCAAAGGGAGGGATTTTCTGCATGTTGTTTAAAACTGCTTCTGTTCTGGACTGGTATGTCAGTAAAACAATTTCTGCTAAGAATATTCTCAGATATTCCATCACTTATTCCCTGTTGACTAGGAAGGTGGCCTGAAAGACCCAAGATATCCACTAACTTCAGAAAGGAAGAACTGTACCATGGAAAAAAGACTTCTTTAATAGCATGAAAAAGCTATGTAAGAGATAGAATACATCATCTGTATTTTGAGTACCAAGACCACCTGCAAGTGATAATGCTTGTATGAATTTTAATTAGAGAAACAACATTTTCTTGCAATATCTCCTTTCCCTTTCCAAGCAACATAGCTGAATAGTTTAAGTTGCTATGGTTACAGTGGGTTGTGGCAGACTGTGGATCATCATGATAGTGACATATTTGCACGTAAAGAACAAAGGCCGCATCTTTCCATTTCAGCCAGATGATTTTAGCCCTAAGTATTTCTATGATTTTAAATCAATTGATGCAGCTTGACATAACAGTCATACTAGGTAAGAAAAATGAAAACTTCATGGTAGTTCAACTTTTCAGTTTAAAATAAGTTCCTTTGCAATGAAGCATTATTCCAGTTAGAAGTTTATTTTAAGAAAATAAATAGTACTTTTCAACAACCCGTATAGAACAGGAGTTTTTATATATGCTTTAAAAAGAATGCCAAGCTGTTGCCTTGGCTCTTGAGCTATTAAAGGCACAGGCTGTTTCTCATGAATGACGAGCAAAGAGCTGGCTGAGATTCGAACTCCTAGTTTTGATCCATTCTATTTGAAAATGTAGCAATCTTATCTTCCCACTGCATTGTGCAAGTATTTTTCATTATAGATTGGCATCACATCCACTAGAGTATTTAGTGTCTTCCATTTGGAGGCAGCCAAGTCCCCTCTTTTGATCCAAAACAGTTGTTAACTCTCCGAAGTATTTCTTTATATGAAAAAATAAAAGAGAGAGATCCTTGAAACGTTTTAGTGGAATCCTGCGTGAAACTGATTTGTAGGAAAAAACAAATCAATAGGTGTGTAGGGTACAGAGAGTACAAAGGGTGTGTCTGTGGTTGTGTGCATTCTAGCCTTCAGATGTTTTCATCCAACTAATTTCAAGGGTTAAGAGCAAGATAGTGCGCTAAAGTGATTCCAGATGGGCCAATATTAATATCTTTCTTTTCCTGATGAATGAGAAGGTATGACCTAGTTAGAAAACTGCTAAAATTACAGGCGCCACAGAGGCTTCAGCTGGTGCCCTACCACATAGATATTTATCCTTACCTCTGCAATTATAATGCTGATGAGTTGCTCGAACCTGCTGAAGGAGACGTTCCAGGGCCTCAGTGTGTCCCCTGTGCCGAGGTTCTCTTCCACTGCAGTCTTTCCAGTCTATTGAACAAAGGAAATAAACAGAAATGAAACACAAAGGAGCCGGAGAGGGTTTTAAAATATTTTCTTGCCTCTGGTACTTCTTGGCTTTAGACGAGTTTTACATCTGGGCACACAGGAAAAAATGGCAGTTGTTTTTAAGTCTTCTGTTGTTACTTGTACAGTAAGTTTCCTTTGTCTTGTGCCAATTAGGTAATTAATCATAATGATTATTAACAAAGAGCTCACAATCAGCTCCTAGAAGCTCCTGTAGTGACTGACTAGACAATGGCTATTTCTCTTCAGTACATAAATGGCCTCTGTTGCTGCACTGTCAGAGCTGCTCTCAGCTGCTGTACCATACTGACACTCTCCGTACCTCACGAAGATCACACTACTGCTCCTTCTGCGTTTTGTTGAGACACCAGGAGGCTAAATGACTCTTCTACAGTTATATAGGAAACCAATTGCAAAGCAGAGAATGAACATCTTCCTACATCCGGAGCTAGCTCCGTAGCCAGAGAAACATGCTCTGAGTAAAATCACTTCTGAAAATCTGCTCCCAGCAGAGGCCTGAGCAAACGCTGACAATTCCTGCCCTAGAGTCTACGGTCTGCTCAGCACTGCACTCGTGAGGCAAGAAGCTGCGGTTTCTGTCCCACATACCTTCAACCTACAAAAGACTTTGTTTTCACTCATTTGCTGCTAGCTACAATCTCAGTGTTGATTTTAAAAAACAGGCAATCTCATCACAAATAGGGGGATAAAATTCTGTGTATCAGAGAGGAGCTTTTTAATTCCAGACTTGACTATTTTCATACTTTCATTATAATGAGAAAAAAGTATTGCACCAGTTTCCTGACTCAAAGTAATGGTCGATCAAGGTATTAAGAGATCTGTCTGCAAGGGAGACATGCTTCCATCTTGCTGGCCATGTATATATTCACAGCCACCAACAAACAGTTTGCTCACTCACTAAATATACAGATCTAGTTTCCAGTGCAAGTTTGGAGTCAAGCATTCCTTCCAATAGGCTCACTATGCCAGGGATATAAATATGTATTTGCTGCCATTTAGTATAGCAGCTAGAGTAAGCCCCATGAAAGGGTGGAAAGAGACATTTGCTATCCTGATAGCCTGTGGGCAGTTGTAACAGCTGCAGAGTGGCTATGCTGCATGTTGTATGCTATTGCAGAGATCAAGTGCCAGCTGCATTTATAGCTCTGGGTGGGGACGTCAGTTCTTAGATCTACTGTGAGCAGCCAAGAGGAACCAACTGAAACTCACCAATCTCAAAGTGCTTTGGTGTCATCAAACTGGTAGAGTTTCGAACAACCTCATGATTTCTCTATCCCAGTGGTTTCCAAACTTTTTGAGCCTCCAGATTGCTGACTACCTTAAAAATGACACGGAAATCAGACCAGCTTCCCTCATTGTCCATCACTTACATGCTAATGAATAAGCCTAGGAATGTTACTATCTACTAAGATTTCACAGACCAGCTGCACAACATTGGCCACCACTTTCCAGGCTGCTCGTGTGTATGTGGGGGAAACAGGAGGACAGTGGCAAGCATTCACTGTCATGCTACATGGATGCATCTCCAAGGATGTCACTAACCTTTGATACTCTGGGATTGGAATGGATCAGGATTAAGCCCTGAAGCTTTCATTTCCTTTGCATATTCTTCTGTCTGCCGTTACAGGCAGCTTTGTAGAGTATTAATGTATTCACATTTAATTTTTAGCTTAGGGCCATATTTTGTTATGCAACACTGGTGTAATTTCAGGTTGCTGCCTTCTTGCCAAGCACAAATCTGCTAGTTTTCAAAACCAGTGGTGAAGGCAGTCATGTGGATAAAGAAGTTCTGCCCCCAGTAACTGCTGTGGTAAATAGCATCTTGTCTCTCAAGCTAAAATTCTGATGTTAGTATTACTTAATGGAAGAATTTACGTTTAGGCTGTGATGGTCTCACTTGCTATAAAGCTTAAGCATGCATCACTAAGGATACTTAATGAAAGTACCACATTCTTGCCAGCTATCTATATACAGTGAGCTGAGTCTGCCTAATGCTTCTGTGTTCATCAACAAAGAAAACATACATATATAGCCATGAAGGAACACTTCTCTTTGCCATAAACTCACAAAAAATCCCATATATATCAAGTGGTGCTCCTGCTCTCCTACAGGGAAATCCAAAAGACTCCTATCGTTACCTTGGCTGCCTTTCAGAGAAACACCCCCACAATGATTGTCCCAGGCACTTCATGGATGGTACCGCTCTCCCTGCTGGAAGCAGGGACTTCACTGAGTTCTGAGCAGCTGCACATGACAACATAGCCCTAATGGCAGCAAGTCTAGGACTTTCTGCTACTCTAAAGTCCAGAATCCCTGAGACACTAAACATGGGAAATGAACTTAATTCTTTGCATAGTTTTTGTGTTGACCCACTGAAATCTGCAGGAAAACTTCTCTTACATCCCAAAGCTTTGGAACTGGCACATATTGTCAGATTTCAGAAGGTTAATAACAGTGGACAAGAAATAGACAGGGAAGACAATGCAATATGTTCGAAGCAAAAGTTCATATCGTAAAAAGCTACAGTCTTAAATGCCACCTATCTTGCCAGGAAGATATTTAGCTGAATAACTAGCAGTTACTGTAAAAGAGTCTGTTTCTCAGCTGATGTAAATTTTTGGTTTGTGGGGCCAAATCCTGCATAGTTATACCTGGCTATAGTAAGGTAATTGCATGTCACTAAGTTATTTAAAACAACTCCATAGTAGTGAGTTATCCACGTAGCCAAGAGTAGAATTTTGTCCCACGATCGTAGCACATTTTTGTTCTCAAACAGAATATTTCTTTAGCCTAGTTCTGGTTTTATTCTGGGGTAAAAAAGAGTAAAATTGAAGCAAAATGGGACAGTGGTACCGCAAGAGCCTCATTTATCCAACCCTCTCCATTATGACTGAGAGTAGGTACAGCTTGCTTTATTTTCTCACATTAGCATGCAAGGTTATTAAATTCTTACATTAGCCTAATAAAAACAAGTGCTAATGCAATAAAATGAAAAGTCTCACTTTACTGCGTTAATCAATAGAAGGGAAACTGCAATATGCTGAGCCAGTTTGGCAGTGAACACTAAGTCTGGAAAAGCACCTAACAATACAATGTGATTACAACAGATTAAAAATTACAAATGAAAAATCGTAATCCTAATGGAGTCTGAGAAAACCTGTCATAGGTTTGAAAAGGAAGAAATGCTTTTGGACATGGCTGGAACATTTTAGTGCTTACGGACTAGATCCTATCAACGTGAGTGTCCACACTAGAGTATTTTACATACAGAATGCTCTAAGAATGATCCAGTGAATGGGATCTATAATGCTACAAAGCAGAATACAAAACTACATATGATACATATAAGTGTTTTGGTTCTAGCAGTGCAGATTCCGGTTTTAATCCATTCATGTACTGACAAATGAGGTTCCATATAGCAGAACTCTATTAAGAGAAATGAAGGTCAAAATATTCCTCATTTTTCTTAAGTGTTAGTGACTAGATGACAATGTTCTGTCAAAGGACTGGAAAATAATAAAAGATAAGGCAAATAAATATACATACATGATTACTTTGCTTATTTTTGGGGGTGGAAGGAGTTGAGTTTTATTTATTTATTTATTTATTTCCCAGATGACGAGGCAATTAAATCACGAACTCCAGAATATTTGTCTTTTTCTGTTCTTTGAAGAGGGAGAAATTCATACAAAGCAACATCACTAATCAAACTAGGAGGGTGGACAAACTCAACTTACTTGAAGGAGAAGCATATTCAGGAGTAGATTTGCGTGGAGGTCCCCATCCTCTCATGTTGTATGATGAAACATGGACATAATACCTCTGGCCCTGCAAATGGAAACAACTGGAGTCAAAACTGTCACTTGACTCGAAATCTTGGCTGTAATAACCGGAAAGCAGTCCCTCCCAAAGATGTTTTCTTTGGAAAACTTAAATAGCTTTCAGTGGCATCAACTGATGCACCATGACAGATTGAAACATAGCACAAAGATTTCAGGACAGGTGATTTGCTGAGGCTTAACAGAACACACCAATTCCAACTGACAAACCGCAATCTCTTCTATCAAAGCCGAACCCTGGGAACTTGGGAACTCTTACAATCAGACTTCAGGAATAGGGACTCCTCTTTTTCCTGATGTATTTAACAGAATCTCTCTACCAGCACAGCAATGGAAGAAGCTTCATTTGGCTGCCACTGAAATCAGTCAGACCTTTATCACTGATTTTGATGCATAAATCTAGCACTTCTGAAAGACTAACTTTTAATTTAAATATGTTATATACTTTGGAGAGTATGGACAAACACACTATAAGCACTGTTCTTACATGTGCCTATGGAAGTGACTGTGCAAGCTTGCTTGATTTTAACTTAAGAACAGTTACTCTGTTTTATTGTTAGAAAATGAGAAACAGAGTAAACGCATATTGTGGCTCAGCTCTCTGGAAGACAGTGTGCTTCAAATCAAAGATTTCTTCAGATAAAAGGCTAGAAAAAACCAATATTTTTTTCTATTCTATGTAGAGAGTTTTATATTGTGCCCATTGCTTACTCTTTAAAGTTAATTGTCTCATTCTGAGAGTCCATGTTTTGGGGCACTGGCCAAGGGTCACATGCATACCTCCCCCTACTATAACTTCGTAGGCCTGATTCAGTGTGCAGTGAATTCAGTGGAAAGGCTCCAGCTCAGTGGATGCTGAATTGGGCCCTTCTGATGATGTTTCCAGTGGAAATAGTTGTATTTTGAGCAAGCTTTATTTTCATCAAGTATTTTGTGAATCAAAATTTGCTTGCACAAATGGTCCTGAACAGTCTGTAGGAAAAAGACTTTCAGACACATGGTCAAAATTATTCTGCTTAAAAATCCATATGAATATTCATCAATTTTCTGCATTGCTGAACCAGTTCTTATCAGTGGAAAACATTTATACAAGAATAAATAACAAAAATGAAAATGATTGCCATCAACGTGTTGGTGTGTGTGTTCCTAGAAGAAGTAGAAGAGAACGAACTGTTATTTTAGCTATTGGTCTTCAGAGTCAGGATGAGATCTTTCATGAGCCTTTGATCTGCACTAAGACTATCCTGTGATCCAGAAAACAGCAGCTTTCACTCCAGTCTTTTCTGATCTCCCCTAAGCAGGACAACTTATAAAACAATTCATGCTGCCTGTCTATTCCTTTGTGACTTTTGGATTATGGATACCAGACATATTATGCTTCATGACTGGAACTTGTTGGTAGAAGAAAGGCACTCTACAGTTATTGCCAACAGGCATGGATGCAAATTATCAGTGTCTTTGTCACTGGGGCGGCAGGGGACATCAAGATCTACATCAGTCATTTGGCACTTACTGTTCTGAGACCCGTGATGGTGCACCTCAAAGACTGAAGATTATCCATAATTATTTCACCAACCAAAGGAGAAAAGTCTTCTGAACAACTCCATTCCACTAGGAAACAAATAGCAGGAGAAAATCAAATCAGATACCAGTCCAAGCAAAGAAATCAAAGTACTTGAATCACTCACAGGTTAACTTTTCTCCTAGCAGTTTCCCCTTCCATGTGGATACTAAAAGTCACGTTTAACAATAGTGTTTAGCAAAACTTCACAAAATAATTAAATTATATCTCTGTGTATGAGAGAGAAAAGCAAAATATTGCTCAAAAGCTTTTCAGGAAAGAATGCTTAAAAATACACTGCAATACAAATTACATTCAGTCAACATTTGCTCTCATTTAAACAATTTCCTTTTACAGAAAGAGAAGTAGTGGAAAAGAGTAGGTAGAGGATTTGGACCGGCTAATGCCATTTGGCAGTTTATACATCGAAACCAACAAAAAGTACTGTTTTGCAATTGGATCTGCATAGGTAGGCATGGGCAAAGAGTCCTTTTGGCTCCACAGGTCCACAAAACTCTCATCACCTAGCCTTGGCTAATTTGTATAGAAATATGCTCCTTGGATTAGATCCGGCACTCACTAGAGTCTCTTCATTGGTTTCAGTGGGTTCTGGCTCTCTTGTCCAAGCCTGATGTTGCTGTGGTCACTGAAATTACAGAGCTCCACAAGGACCTATTAAGTTGTATCCATTTTTGAAATTAATAAGTGGCGCTAGGCTGACACATCCCTCCCAACCCATCCTGCAGCCTAAATTACAATGGGTACCTTCACCAAAGTGCTCCCATCAACTTGTACAGACGACACATATTCCTGCTTAAGGGGTTATGAAATTAGTAGTCCTGCTGTCAGTACTCTTCCTCAGTACTTGCAAAAATGAATGTGCACGTAAAATAGTATTACTTTTCATGGTCTGAAAAGCTACTAGATGATTTCAAAAAAAGAATATATGCAAGTGGGGAACTGATGGCTGCAGGTAGGAAAACAGCCTCTTTATCTTAAATGATATTTTATTAATGACAGGTACCATGATTAGAGTTAAGGTTAATCCCGGAGTCATACCTCTGGGATTTAGTAGTTTGTACTTCAGACTCAAACTTCCAGAAAAACCTATCAAAAACATAGTGAAATTAATCTCTCAAATTATTCTACTGTAGACATGGGAAAACCCATCGATTTTCTGGATTTACACCAAAGTAGAGAATTCAACCCAAAGCTTTCCCTTTAAGAGTCACAAAATTGTTTATAGATACTTTATTTGCACATTTATTAGTATTGGAGTCAATAATTTAGATTAGATCAGAGGGTATAGGCATTTTAATTTCAGCATGTGGAATTTTCATCTTCTGGCTGCGTCATACTGGTATTTTCATGTTAAAAGAAAAAGGCTTCACAGAATTTTTTGCATAGCATATACAACATTTACCTGCCAACACATTTTTCTAAAATAGCCAAGTATCAATAGCAATAGATTTTTCCTTTCTCTCCTAATTGTTCCTTTTCTGTGATTGCAGTTTGTGAATGCACAGCATGTTCTGCAACATTTTTGTATTTGCTGCAATGAAAAGAACATTGGTTTTGTCTATTGTCTTTGAACTTTTTCAGTGTATATTTTTCTAGTTTTCCATGGGTTTTAAATACCTAATTACTGCCACCTTTAGTGGAAGCTATCTCTGTACATTAGTATGAAAATGTAGAGACTGTTACGGTACCATATTGTAGGTTTTTGTTGACAACTTAATTATAGGAATACTTATAAGTACCATTGAACTTGATGGCCTGTCAGAGTTTCCATTGTAAACCATGATTTTCAGGGTTTATAACTCCACTGTATTAAATAATTGAGGACATTGTATACATGCTGCGAACTTAGACATGTTGTCTGTTTTCCAGAAGTATAAACTGGAGAAACCCTGTTCGAACTGCTGAACATGATATCAACAGGCTTGCAGTCCTTTCAGATACCATTTTTGTTTTCAAAGATTAATGTAAAGCAAGATAGTGTCACTCAAGACAGATTCTGCCTACAAATCCTGTCTTCATTGAAATCCCCAGGCATGACTGCGTGTGCTTTGCGGGGGGCTGGTAAGGCTGCACTTTAGGCAGCACAAAACAGAAGCCAAGGGTGAAATAAGCAGCTTTAAGCTGCTTTTGAGCTTCCCAAATTTTTAGCTGTTCTATGGGCTGGAGACTGCCCAAATGTAAACTGGTAGTTCAAGAGGCATATTTAAATTTGGGTACCTTACACAAATAAACATTGCAGCCCTATTCTTGATGTGGGTCTCGTTCTCAACCCTTCCACTTGTATTCCGGCATTTAGAAAAGTGCTCCTAATATTTAGAGATCCTAACACACTGCCTGAAGAGGAATTAACTGCCTTAATCTAAGCAGGATTGCAACCCTATATGTTTGCAAGCATATGTACAGCAGGAACATCATGATACTAGTATTCTGACTAGCAACAGCATGGCAGTTCTTAGAAATAATCAAGGACCATTGAGTTCAGAGAAAGAAGCTGAGTTACCAAGGGGAGAAAAGGCGGACATTGCCTTTAAAGCTGTCTCAGGAACAGCTGAGGAAGTGGGTTTTGAAATAATAAATCACAGCTTTGCTCTGATGTTCTAGGGCAAACTGTTGCCCCAACTCATGTTGTTAGTGAAACCCCATGTGCAGGGCAAACGCCCTCATCCACTTGCTGGCTGACACAGTGATCTCCCAGTCCCTTGAAGGACAACTACTCGCTAGGGAGAGCGACCGAGTTTGCTAGTCCTTTCACGAGGTACTGAGGAGAGCTGTGTACCCCTCTGACCCCCTCAACCAGCCGAGTCTTCACTGGCTTCTAGGCTGAGGCTCAGCTGTTCTTCTCATTATACAGCCAAGTAATGCCAGCATTTTGCCCTTACTTTTTTAGCTTACCCTGTGATGGCTGAGACCCATGAAATTGAAAACACAGGAATATGATATTAGCTTGTGGATCAGGTTATGGTTATCATTATGATTGAGAACCCCCCCTTTTAAAGGATATTTACCTAGAAAAATGATGTATACAAAGTTACTCAAAATTCAATTTTCAAATATATATATTTTAAAACCTCATGTTTGGAAAAAACCCTGCCCCCCAGTTTCAATAAAAATTTCCATAACTGAAAAAAAAATATTTTTTGAACAGCTATGTTGGAATAGTGCCTTCTTTTTCCCCTTGTTTCAAAGTACTGCTGAAAACATATCAACAGGATACACTGAAGCATTGCTATTTTTGACAGAATGTCATTCTCTGACTCATGATATCTGTCATAGAGAAACTAATTACAAATTTTAGAATTTTTTGCTTACTTTTGATTTTAACAAACTTTTTTTCCCCATTATTTTACTGATTCAAGTGAGAAGAGAATGACATGACACAGTTTTAAAGAAATTCAAATCAACTTAACTCATTTATCACTTAAATTTGTATCTTCTGTTATACATTGCCAGATTTCAGCTTTCTACCATAATGGTCGTCTAAAAATAATACATAATATTCTACTATACTCAATCATTGGGTTTTAAACCGAACACTAGTGTCCCTGTTTTATAGATGGGAAAAACAAGGCAAGGAGAGGTAGAGCATTTTGTTCACTCAGCAGGCCCCAAAACAACAAGGGACAAGCTCCTATGATCTATATTACATTTATTAGGCCAGTGTTGCTCACACTTTTTGGCTATGTGGGATATATATAGCTCTTTCTGGTACCAATAGAAAGCTACACAGCCATGGTCTTACCCCTGTGATTAACCTGGCTCTAAAAATTATGTAACTTTGTGCATGAGCAACCCATCATGAAGATTTTGCTAAATCTTTGCCTACTTTCTGAGAGAGAGTGCTGGGAGAGACTGCTCTGGTAGTAAACAAAAAATATCAACCATTTGTGTAACTATAAAGTACTTGGGACTTTAAGAAAGAACAAAAGGCTAGCTAACCTCAGCACTTTAAAAGTTGAATATAAAAATGCTCAAGTGTAAAAACCTGAAGATGAAGAGGGTCCTTTATAAGAGCCCAGGAACAGGAGCTGGTCTTGTAGACTGTACCACTGTGCTGTAAAGGACTTGAAAGCTGTTGGGTGAATTAAGGATGGAGCATGTTCCAGTCCTGTTCTGAACACCCCAAAGGGCTGCTTTGTCGTGAACGCTGAATGTCTTTGCTGTTGCGGCTTTCCATCTGACACTTCACGTTATGTCAGAGCAGGGTTTTTTTGTGTGTTTAATATATTGGTGACTATGTGTTTTAATGAAGGTGCCCTGTATTCCAGAGCTAGCAAATGCACGATGTGTTGCTGCGGTCGCCAAGATAAGTAGTAATTTTTAAATAAACAGCAGTATAAACAGTTACATAAAACTCATGTAAATTGCTGGCACATAATTTTAGACTGGCTTAAGTTATGTAACTTACTTGTGGCCAAGTTTTTTTTTTTTTAATACTCAATTCATGCACTTTAAAATAAAGGGAGAAGTTTATTTTCACCTGTTTCTTTTCTACTCGCTATCTTTCTGTTATACTGAGCATGCCTTAAACAGCTTATCAGAGAGATTGACAGTCAGACAAGAGACAAAGTGAAGGCACAAAACACCTCCTGACCCTATTGTAGATTCATTCAGGAAAGCACCTTCTCCTGAGTCAAGTAAATAGCCTGAGCCACAGTAGAATTTGTCACTTCTCTTGGCATTTGTTTTTGCTTGCATTTAAATTACTCACTGAATTGCTGAGTAGATTAATTAGACCGAGGGGCATGAGTTCTGTTGCTAAGTTGATGGGGTCTACAGAATAGAGTACTGAGCTGGGATTCTGGGTTTTATTCTTGCATTTGCTACTGACTTGCTGTGTGATCTTGGGCAAAGCATTATGCCACTATGGCTTTTAACCCAGACTTAAGCAGCAAAGATTCTCTCTCCTTCCCTTCCTCCCCATGTCCAGGGCCTAGGCTTAAGGACACTGTGATCTTAGCTTGTGTTTCCAAGGGCCTCCAAACAAATAATTGCATTGTTCAATAGCTTCCTTTGAAATGTAAAACTGAAA